TTGCTGCTGGTGGCTGCCAGCGTCTGTGGAAACAGGCGGTGGAGTTCTCCTGTAGCGCGAAGGGAAATGAAAAGTATTTTGTTTGGAGAACCTCCGGCAAACCGCATGTCATTTGTCATATCTGATTTATTACCCGCAGGATCGCATTACAGGGGAATTTCAAATCCTGTAACAACATCCAAGATCACATACTTTAAAAGGAAATATGTGGAAGAAGAGGATTTTCATCCACCACTCAGCAGCTGTACACATAAAGTATGTTTTCTAATAGTCATTATCTTTACTTCGAGTTTCAGATGCTTAGTAACACTCGATTGACCCATTTCCAGAAGGCTGAAATACTCTGCTGAAATTAGGAGAACGATCCAGCTGTTTGCTCAGAAACAAATAGTTGTCACTTGTTCACATTTATTGTTTTATTGTCATCGAATTGCTTAAGAAGCAAAGGCAATTCTTCATTTATAACAACTGTAAATGGAAATGCTGAGAACAACTTCTTTTTTTTTCCGATTATTCTGTTCTTGGATAGTTTATACCGTGCTTACAGAAAACAGCTCTGTAACAGCGTTTGAACAGCAGAAACAAAGAACGTAAATAAAAAGGGCCCACGGTTCCCCACTCATTCAAAACTTTTTCCAGGGGAGGAAATAGTAATAGGTTCCTTGCACCTCAAATGGGTTACAGATCCTCTAGAAAACCAGAATGACTTGGAAAGCAAGTACAAGCTCTTTTGGTACTTAATCCTGTTCATTAAAAAGCTAATAACTCCAAAAGAACAGATTAGTAAATGAAAGAATATTTTTTTTTAATGAAAGCTGTCAGGGGAGGGATTAGAGCAAACATTTCCCAGGCCAGTGAATACGTAAATTGAAATCTAACTTTTTTTTGTGTGTGTGTGAGAGATTTTACGCTCTCGTTCATTAAGGGCTCAGTCCTGTAAGGAACTGAACGCCTGCAGTGATGTGCTTAAGGATAGCTGATGCCTTGAGACACCGTCCTTGCCTTGCTGGATCGTACCTGGCCCATGGCAGTCCAGCGCTGCCCATGCGCTTTTGGCAACAGAAAGGACACAATATAACCTGATGAAAGCACAGAGGATTAAAGCACAGCTTATGGGAGGCAATAGCACCACAAGAGCCCCCGAGACAGAAAGCTAAACCAGATCGAGATGCATAGCAAGTTTATACGTTATCTTTATCTGCATCGCAGAGGCAACCTCCTGAGACGCGAGGAGAAGCGAGTGCCTCGTCCCTACCACGGGCACCGGCTGGGGAGGTCTGCCCGGAGGGATCCTGTTTCCCTGGAGGGATTTCCACAGAGGAGAAGCGAGCAGTAACACTGAGCTCGCTTCCCAAGGACCTTAGAGTAGCCAAAGGAATTTTCAGCTACAAATAGTGTTGGCTGGAAATAAGTACCTGACCAGGAAGGTGAAAAACTGCCCCGCCATTAATTCCAGAAGGTGTTCGGTCTGCTGCCAGAGCAATGAATAAAGAGCACTGAGGGTGTTGAAAAATGTGCTCTGGTTAGCAAGCGTGTCTCCCACATGTCACATCACTCTCTGATTTCAGCCAGCTTTTTTCTTGGCTAGATTGTTGGATTTTTGCATCAGTGATTGTTTTCCTCGCAAAGAGGAGGAATAGTTACGTATCCCTTTCTAACAGTATAAAAACCAGCTGTAGAGGTATTGGTAGGATAGACCTGTCCCAGACATCATTTTGTGCTGTCAGAAACCCTGGGTCACCGCTTTCTTCTGTTCAGCGCAAACGTGTTTTCTACTTTGCAGCACTGAGCTCTGGGGAAGGGAGGATGCCCACCAGATTTCTTTGAATTTCTCCCTTCTGCTGCCCAGTAAAGAAAGAGTTATGTTCTGAGATTCCTCATCCCATAGAGGGTATGATGGCAGGGCCTAGAGCCCCTCTCCAGGGCTGTTGGCGGACATTTGTAGTAGAAAGCCTTTGACAACTTGTTCCTACTGGTGGCCCTCCAAGACGTATCTCCAGGAGGATCACAGTTCAAGGCTTACTGGTTTGCTCCAGGCTTTTATGGCTTCACTGACTATTGCTGCAGCAGGTATAAAGGACACAAATTAACCTCTAGGCTTAATATAATTTAAAATGAGTCGTTCATTACAGAAAATTACTCTCTCTAGCAAAAAAGAGCTTCAGCTGCAAACGCACATGAAAACGCAGCCAGTTTTTGTTTTTACGAGGCACTGTGCTGCTTGTAAGCCCTGCAGACAGGACCAGGCTGTGGAAAGAGCTAGAGGGCTGAGGAGAGCTGAATGGATGTGAAAAGCAGCTGTGCTTTAAGCTCTTTCAGTCCTCATAGCTACGACTTCCACTCTGCAAAAATGCCGTAACCATGTGGGAAAGGGAAGAATGATCAAGCCACAGATGGGGGGGATTTAGAGCGGTCTCTCTTTGTGCTGTGCTGCTCTCCTCCTACGCAAACCAAATTCTTACTAAAAATGAAAATTAGTTAGTAGTGCTTACAGTAGCATGCGTTGCCCCCTCTCTTAGTTTGATTCCCAGGGTAGCGATTACAGCGCAGAATCCGGGGCCTCCCGGGGGCAGTAACCTGTTCATGCTGCCAGTGCTGAGAAAGGGAGTCCTGGAAGGACCATGGGAGGGAGAACAAATCTGTGGGCGTTGAGCCAGGATTTCTGCAAATCCCTATCCTCTCTTCGTTTCCTGACCTTGTCCCTGCCTATCTGCGTTCCCACCGGTCCTGTAGAGCGCAGGGTGTAGTGTGCAGGCCAACAGCTGCTCTCCAGATGCCGTGATGCTTTGAGATGGGTTTCTCCCTGCCTCCCTCCCTGCGTGCACTTTTGTACACAAGAGCAGTATATGGGAGCTTGGCAAATGGAGACCTCCTCGCTGGAGGGCCTCTTCCACCGGCAGCGGATGAAATGCTCCGACACTTGCCGCGTGAGGCGATGGCTGCTGGCTGCATCTTGCAGACCTTGAGGCCGCAGGAGGGGACCTTTGCTTGGCTTCAGAGCTTTGCAGAAGCCCCACAGGGGTGGTGGAATTGGGTCCACTGACATCAAAAAGCCCCCAGCCTTCACTGGAGCAAAACTGAGCGACAATTTTACGTTCTAACCCCAAATGCAAATAAAGAGCCGGATGCGTGCATCTGGATTTCGCTCTCCCGTCCTGGATTCGTGCCCTGCGATTGCCTCTGTGGTGTAACCCTCAGCTACTTACCTCCTAAACCTGGGTGAATGCTGTGGCCCAGAAAAAGCAGGTCCCCAGCTACATGGGTGTGCAAAATGAAAAGCCAGTTTTAGGCGCCTCAGAAAGAGAATGAGAAAAGTAGTGACATGGGGAATACTTTGCTTCGTTCTCTTTCTGCTTGCCTGGAACAAACCCGCTTGCCCTCAGTTCCATATCTTCTGTCTTTTGCATTTTCAGACAATCTCCGTGTTTGAGGAGCGGGCCCACATTCTATACATGTCTTTGGAAAAGCTGAAATTCATTGATGATCCCGAAGTCTACCTGCGGAGATCTGTCCTCATCAACAACCTAATGAAGAGAATCCACGGAGAAATCATCATGCAGAACAACTGGTGCTTCTCCGCCTGCTCCTTCAGTGGCACCTCGCCACAAGAGTGGTTTGTGCCTCAGGACTGTCCATACAGAAAACGCCTTCGGATGGCAAAGGAGGAGTACGAGAAGCTCCACACGTGCTGCTTCTATCAAGAGTGTGGCAGTCACTATTTAAATCTACCCTACTCTGTTAACGCTAGTACAGAAAATACTTCCTCCTCTTCCTCCTCCTCCTCTTCCTCCTCCTCCTCCCCCTCCTCCTCCCCCCCCATTTCTTTGCCAAGCTGTTCCCAGCAGGTGGATTATGACATTGGCAGTGCCTCTTCTTACAGGAGTGATGACCAGATACCTGCTAATGAAATATTCATCACTAATGCCAGGTCCCACGGTAATCAGGAAAAGGCAAAATTTAATGACGAGAAAGGAGGTAATGAACCTGAGCGAGAGAGCATCGCCCTAAACTGTGAACCTGTAAGAGGCACCCATGCTCTCGAATGTAAAGGCAAATTTTATGACTATTTTGAGACTGGATGTAATGACAAGAGCGACATAAGTGAATCTTGGAAAAAATCCTTAAGGAAAAAGGAATCTTTACCAAGTAATAAAATGTGCTGCAGCAAAGGAAGTAAAATATGAGGCATCTTTCTTGCTCTGTTGAAGCATGCGCAGCATGTTCATTTGTCTATCAAATTTTTATTTTGAATGGGTTTTTTACAGTTTTCTACAAATGATACAACCATGCCACAAACATTACGTGTAGTTTTAAATGACTGGAGAGCAGATTGCGTAAAGCGTCTCTGTGATCTGCATCAGCCGGCTATTTATAAATATGGAGACTTCATAAAGAACGCAGTTGCGTTACTGCTTAGCGCTATAGTCTGTACAGCTATGGTGTAGCTTTCGTTGCTGAAAATACCAATCAGCCAGATGGGGAAAACATATCGTTTTATATATCCCCGCCCCCAAGAAGTCTGCCATTAATTAAGAAGAACCTCCATTGTGTTTACCAAGGAATTACAAGTCTGGTAAACAAATTGATGCTACCAGCAAGGGTGATGTGCTCCTTGTAACTCAGTATTTGTTCTGACAACGGACTGTCTTCATGGACTGGGAACAAACCATCCTTACGTTTTGTACTGATACTCATGAATTCCTGGATTCAGCGTCTTGTTCAACTGACAAAATAGGACATAGCATAAAGAAATAACCTGCTTATGGGATCTTAATCAGAAACGCAACACGCAGCTGAAGTACTTGCACGTTTTCACCTCGGCTGTAATAACTAATGAGGCTTGTTGTTACACAGGGCAGGTTTTTTTTTGGTGCCTTACTTTTTGTCTTAATTTTTGCCAGCGTGAAAATTAAGTATAAATCAGTGATACAGCAGGGATTTAACCTAAACAGAGGAAAAAAAAAAAAAACCCACAGGGTGGATCAATATTATTAGAAACCTTTAACCTTTGAAGTACTGAGTTCAACTTCCTATTCAAACATCTCTGTTCTTCCTTTTTGACGCTCAATTGCTTTTTGATTTGCCATCCTTAGGAAGGGATTTAAGAAACAATAGAGAGATGTCTCTTGTAAACAAGCATTCGATGCTTGAGTGTTTCTATGGCAACTGTCTGTTGCTGGGGCTCTTTTTTTTCCTTCTTCGTATAATGAAGTTCATGAACCAGTGGCATGTTTTATACTTTATTCTGTTTCGCATAATTTCTCTCTTTTAGATTGCAAAAGCATGCGGGAATTTTTCTATGACTTTTGCCGTTGATTTAAAAAAGACAAGAAAAGAAAGCAAAAAGCACAATGTTAATCGATAATGTGGCGATAAACATGATTTTATCTGAATGAATGTAAGGGGTTTAATTTTAAAAAAGAACATTTTGGAGAAATGAGCTGAGATTTCAGTGGCTAAGGACAACATTTAGTCATCCCTAGGTAGACCGTTTGCAAAAGTGTGCTGTTTAAAATGCCTGGAAGACATTAGTCGGGGTTGGACCGAGAGCATTGTGAGTCTTACATCCACCAAATTAATTAGGTCCCACAGTCCCCATAACAACTGGCAGGATGTGCTTGGCAAAATAGCCGCATCCAAGCCATGGCTGACTCATAATAGCTGCCTGTTCCCACAGCATCATGCACTCAAGCGACATCTTCTCTGCTTGGTCCTCGTCCAGAGGGCGAAATTCCCTTCTGTGCTGGGGGAGCGGCCAGCTCAGCACAGGGCACCAGGGTCCCGGGGGGGGGACATCGCCCCGGGCTGCCCCCGGCTTGGCGCTGGACTCAGCTGGGTCTCTGGGCCAGAGACCTCCTGCTCTGGGTTTCACGGGTTCAGCCTGAGTCCTCCTGGGCCGTGGTTATTTTGGGGAGCGTGCACACCCCACAGTCACGCTTACAAGCTGGACAGTTTTTGTGATTAAGCCCAGCGGTCACAGGAAACAGCTTCCCCCCGCCCCCCGCCCCCATAGGACGTAAATCAATGATAACCTTTATGTGGTCAGGTGAGTTGGAACTGACAAGTTTGTAAGGGTTATCCTTGTGAAGAACAACAAATAAAGAAAGTATAAATCCCACCTGATTTCTCCAAGACAGAAGCTTTTTTTATTAATAATAATAATAATATTAAATATAGATCTCATTCATACAGTGTATGAGTAGGATCATCATTTAGACATTTGTCCACAAGGACCAATTTTTTAAAAAAAATGATTTTTCTTGTGTTATACCCAGATAGTCTAGTAATGTCTGCTCTTTTCCAATATTTGATAAACACTTGATGTTTGAAGCTTAAATATTAGATGCTTGTATACTAATGTGTTGTTGTAGTAAAGTGAAATTTCCTTGATATATATTTATTAAAATGACCAAAATTCATTTTAATTTTACATCTCCAATGGCTACTGGGTCCTTCCCCGCATGTTCCCCTCCCTCACCCAAGGACGTGCCATTTAATCGAACTGCTCCCTGTTGAAGAGGTTAGGCTGCAGTTGACTGCGCACCTCACGTTGAGTCCAGGACGGAGCTCAGCCTTCTTGGGCTTTCAGGAGCCTTTCGGACAGTCTGGAGGTGCACTGAGAAGCAACAGACTTCTCTGCGGATTTGCATGTACAGCCAAGGATAACACCTGGCCAAATGCTGCCCAAGCCACAAATCGGCTAACACTTTTGGGGGGGCGCTGAAAGCTTTGTGACCCTAAGGGGCTCCTTGGTCTTCAAGAACAAGCCTGCACACATAACCCATTGCAGAGTCTTCTGAGTTGAATTTGCACCAGCTGAAGCGATGGATCAGCGGAACTCTGTCTACTCCAGCCTCTTGAACAGCTGCTTTAGTTCTAGGGATGCCTAGAAATTAACCTGTTACAGCTCTGGACAGTCTTACTGAGTGTCATCAGGGTCTGTAAGGGGTGAAATGTCATCTAATGAAGGTTGGCCTAAGGATAAGTGGTCTTTTATGCCTTTCTCTGGACCCTGCCTCACAAAATAAGAGCAAATGGTGAAAGTAGGTGTATTGGACTCAGGAGTCCACTGAGTTATCCTGTTTGCTTCAGAAGAGACAGAGGTATTTCATATCAGAAAAGGGAGTTGGAAACACTCTTGCCCAACTGGCAGAAATGCAATAGACCTTGATAGGATTTCCAACCTGGGCTAGGCTGAATGGATTTCATGGTTTAGATTTGGTTTGATCTATGGCATGTGAAGAGTGTAAACCTGATAGGCCTTCTCCCCACTGCACACTCCACTACTAAGGACATTTTGCTAGTATCACCAATTTTCAAGAAATAGTTCTTTTCCAAGATTGTACTAATGCCTTTCATCCATTATGTCCCATGCATAACTCCTAAATGAATGCTCCTGAACTTGATCCTGGCCTACCTGCCTGGAAGAACTGCACAGAAGAGCTTCTCTCTAGGGAGGTGGTTCTACTCTCTGTCATAAGATACTTTGCTCCTAGAGCGTAAGACTATAAAGTACTGTGCCTTTCAGTGGGCTAATCCCTGCTTACAATGGTACTTCAATAATACATGGAAAACAGCAACAGAAAAAGATGTTTCTGTTGTCGGGTCTATTTTGCTGTCACTAGGAACAGAAGTGTCATTTCATCTTCAGGTTCATTTTCTACCAGTTAAGACATTTCCCTTGGAAAAGCATAGTTCACTTGAGTTGAAAAAATTACGCTTCTTTTTCAAAACATGTGGCATACTAACATTGTGCTTCATATATACTCAATACTCTTGGTAAAATTTTATTATTTTTACTGGATTAGCTAAACTGTTGAAACAGCTTAACAAGGTTACTTAAGCATCCCCAGCACTCAAATAGCCTCAGCTGGCACCAATTTGCAATGCCAGCGTAGCAGCTGGCTCCGAGGAGAAAACAAATGCAGGCTGAGCCGCAGAAATGAAGTGCTTCTTTCAGTCCTGAAGGTGTTACACCCCAAAGCAAAGTTGTGGTAAAGAGATGTTTTTCACATTTCATCTTCCTGTGCGCCCTCCATCCTCCTTTTACATCTCTCATCTACCGACAGTCGTTTTTGCTGAAGACCACGACACGCCGCTGGGGTGGTACGCTGGGTGCCACCACCCTTCGGGTTTGTGCAGGGGAAGCAGGAAGCTGGGTCAGAGGTGCAGCATGATCTAAAGGGAAATTTAAACAAACTAACCAGGCTGCAGTGTGTCTCGCTGCTTTGTGGCCCCTCTGGAGCCCCATGCCACTTGCAACCCACCCAGCTGAATGGCCTTTCCAGCTGCCGGTAGCTCAGATTGCCACTACAGTAGCGATCTGGTGATTAAAGGGCTGTGGCCGAAGCAGAGATGTGAAGGTGATTTCCAGCCTGCATTCCACTTGCCCATCACTGCCTTCTTGAGATAAAGGCTATAGCCAGAGGTGTAGCAAATGCAACTGCTGATTACTCACGCTAGGAACCTCGATAAAAGAAGTTTCTTAAGTTTTATCACAAAAAGAGCCAGTCAGTCACATCAGAGAAAGGTTTAAAGTGCTGTGGGGTAAAGGATTTCATCTGGCGTTTCATTCCGTGAATGCAACTCTCACGTGGAAGCCTCCCAAAGGGACCTAACCTTTTTCATTGCCTGTCCCTTGCTTTGCAACCTCGAAGAAAGGGGCTGCCCTCGCTTTCTGGAGGTAACCTTTTGGGCTGCTCAGTACTGGTATGAGTTTTTCTGCAGCTGCACGAAGCACCCCAGGGGCTTTTCCTGGCAGGGTGTGCAGAGCCTGCTAAAAGATCGCAGCCGGGGAAGCGCTGCAGAGGATCTTGCTGGAAATGTTAGGAGATGTGAATCTTCCACAAGGCATCCCATGTAACAGCCAAGCCGCTCAGTCACGACGACTTGGAATACACAGTAATTTCCTGTGTTTTTTCAATCTCACTTTAACTTCTCTGACAGATGGGGAAAGATGACTAAACCGAGGGAGTTTACAAAAGTTCGTCTTGTGGTGTTTGCAAACTGTCTCTGTGAGGTCCATTTTCTCTAATGTAAACACAGCCGTGGCAGGGTGCCGAGTGCCTTTGCAGCAGTTAATCCTGCTCAGCTTAAGGCTGCTAACGTGAGGTGCACCCGGCCAGCCGGGTCCGCACCGGGGAACGGAGCACTGGGGAACTGGTTTCAGCCCTGGGGCTGAGGGGTCTGAGGCTGAGACCTTCACTCCTCTTGGGTCTCTGCAAAGCAGCTGTGGCTGCAAGGCCAGACTGAATTTACCATTTGGGGTCAGTGGCTCTCCATGTCAGGAGACCGGGGGCCAGGTGTAGAAGGTTAGATTAAACTCCAGGGGAGTAATCATGTGAAAATGGTTGCATTTGGGGCTGTAGTTGGCCTGTTGTTGCTCTCCCTAGTCTTTAAGTCATAGCAAGGAAGCGAGTGCACCCTGGGGAAGGTGGAGTTTTAGTTCCTCAGCTTTGCAAAAGTGGTGCAGACTGCAAGGTATGCAAAGCTTTCTCACCAGATCCAGCTGAAAGGCCAGGTAGGCAAGTATGTTAACTTCTTTTAATCTCTGTGTTCAAGTTCCCCTCAGGAATGTAGGGAGTGTGAGGATGGGTGGTCTGCGTACACTCAGAAGTATGCACAATAAGCAAAAAAAACCCCAAACCCTCCAAAACAGTGAGATACTGGATTTGAAAAGTAACTTCTC